AAATTTTGGAAGATCACAGGGTTGCTTTTAGCATTTAGATCCTTAATGCAAAAATGGAGTTGCATTTAGTTGCATTTAGGTGACGAATTTAGAGCTAAATGCTACTCTAAATGTACATTTATCCATACGAAATTCGTCACCTAAATGCAACTTGCATTAAGAATCTAAATGCTAAAAGCAACCCTGTGATCTTCCAAAATTTCCACGATTCGAACATGGTTTAAAGAGAAAAAGTGGCAACATTGCTTTTTCGAGTATACAGTTGCTAGCTGCGTTTCAGTGATCGCCGATCGAGATTTCTTTTATTTTACATTACATATTTGGATAAAGAAAAGTTAAGCAAATTCAACATCGATGTGATGCTAATAGAAATCTGGATCAATTTGTGATCAACTCTGTTTGTTTTGTTTCCTAATTAAGTGAGGAAATTTTAATTGAGAGCACCGACAAATGAATATATACACAAACAAATGTTCGGTTATGGTTAAAACAATTCATGTTTTTGTATTGAATTTTTGGTTTGAAATTTATTTTTTCCTTTTCGGTAGGGTTTTTGCACATTATCTTCTGCGTGAGAATTGATCGTAATATATACGGATCTAAATAAGAGACTGGAACACGGCTGTTTGTCAAAAGCACAGGATTTCGAACTCGCGTAAATGTACATTTGCTAAATGCTATAGCATGAACGCTCTTCGAAAACATATGTTCGAAAGTGATAAATGTTGCATTTTAAATGCAGCAAAAACGCTGCATTAGTGTTTTCATTGACATTTCTTACATCCTCTGATTACAGTTTTGCTACACAAAAACAAAACTAAAACGCTCTTCCCTCATTTTCTTTTCATTAGCAACCTCTTACTTTAATTCTTGTTTTACTTTTGCCAGCCAATAAACAATAAATCCGAAATGGCGTATTAAAAATGATAAAATATGACTTCCACTTCGAGAAATAATCGAAAAAACTAGTGAAGACACCGATTGGAATGGGTGGAACGTGAGTTTTCAAGTAGTTTTCAAGTAGTTTTCAGCGAAAACTGGTTTTCTTTTGACGGATTTTACATGCATGAACCAATTAGAACAGATCTGACCGGTTGAGAAGCAGCCATTTGTAATAGCAATTGAGAAAAGTGTGACGTTCGTAATTTTGAAGTTTGCTATATCTGTTTTGCTTCTTTTTTATATGTATTTTGTCGGTGATTTATATCACTGATTTTTTAGTGATTTTTTGTGCAAATGTAATTAAAATGAAGTGCGCGGTGATTGAATGCAAAAACACGTACATAAATAATAAATTGGTTAGCACAAACATGTGCACAACATTGCTTGCAGTTTTTCTTTATGCTTCGTCTTCATATTCTTTGTTTGTTTTTCACAGAAAATAACATGGCGCCGAAATTACAAACGTCAGCCAGAAATTTACTTTTTTCTTTTGGTCCATCTTGTCAGATCTTGTGTAGTTGGATCATGTTTTACATGGACGAAAACACAATTTTTAAGTCGAAAACCAGTTTTAGCAACAAAAACATGTTTTCGATGTCGGTCAGAACATGGTATTAGGGCCGGTTACTCATTATCTGTAGTGCGATTCCCATTTTTCTTAACGCAATATTCGTATCGTTAGCTAACGATTCCGACAAGTTTCGTTAACTGCAATTCTCAAGCACGCTTTTAGCGAATATTGTCGGTAGCTTTGACAGTTGTCTGACGAAATTTGTCGATAACCTAGCTACGAATATTTTTTCGTTGAAAAGCCTACCGATAAAATTGTTTTAAGTTTTTATTGAAAAAAATTAGGCCAAATTCATCGGTATGCAAACTATTATAATAAAAAATAACTAATAAATAAAAATTTATCACATATAGATGTGCTTTTTATTATTGTTCCTTTTATTTATTACACTGTGCAAGTTGAAAACATTGACAAAGGTTTTGAAAGTTGATCTCCTTAATTGTGGCATTCTAAATTTTGTCAGATTGGCTCCAGTTTTCGAGATAACGATACTTGAACATTTGCTTCAATTTTAACTTGTTTGTAAATAAATCAGTTTTAGTGTTGTTCCAATAAAATGTTTAACATGACTATTTTTTATAGTGAAGGTAATTAAAAAATAATAATTCATACTGTATTTGAGCGTATAATTTGTAATTTTTTACTTATATATGGCTTATAGCCCCTTATTAAATTCGCCTTGCATGAGGCCGTTGTTGCCAAATAAGCAGTCCAGCATCCTATGGTTCTGCTCCGTAGTAGCTCCTGCTCTTCTTTTTTTTCATATGGTATACACAAACAACAATCACAATAATACGCGCAACAATAACAAGTTTCTTTTAAATATTTACGGCCGGTTACTCAAGGTTTGGTTATCACTAATCTGCGGTTAAACATCGTTATCGACGTTATCGAAACCGTGTCATGAACCAAAAATACAAGATCACGTAAGAACTCGACGTTGTATTTGTAACTGGTTTTGAGAAAAAAGTTTGCGAGAGCGGGTTCGTCAGCTGAGCGTTTGTTTACATCACAAGCACCACTATTTTACACTTTTATTCAAGTAAAGAAGAGTTAATTCAACATGACAACACATTTTAAAGCATTTTGTTGTATCATTTTACCCAAATTGTGCGTTTAAAGTGGCTGACAATAATTTTGGCTAATTTTGGTTTTCGTTGTTTTCTTTGCTTTGTTTACATTTCGCTCGTTTCCCAGTGAAACAAGATGGCGTAGAACCCGCTAAAAAAATCGACTTTTTTCACTCTCTTGTTCTTACGTGATCTTGTGTCTTTCGTTCATGAAACCGTGTTATATGCATGTAGACATTGAGTAACCGGCCCTGAGTGTCAAACGTCAATATTGCCATATTTGACTTTGTAATTAACGACAATCGTCGTAAACTTCTTTATCGACATGTCTAACGGATTCTGTCGTTAACAGGTCTATTCTGCACGTAACTGATGATTTTGTAACCGGAAAATTTTATTACCAAAAATGTTACCAGTTCTTGGCACCGCGATTCTAGGTATGTTGGTAATGCAGTTAAAATATTCAGCAATTCAGCTATGAAGAACGTGCAAATTCTGGCATCGCATATTTCACGGGGCAATACTTTGCTACCAGCTTATGAGATGGTAACAACAATTACCGGTTACAAGAGTACACAAGAAAGAGTTTAAAAATTGACAGGAACTTTATTTACAGGTTACAAACTTTTTATTACCAGCGCAGAATAGACCTGTACCAGGTAAATTAAGTTCCTGTAAAATTTTAAACCCTTTTCGAATTCTGTGTACTCTTGTAAGCCTCCATGCATACAACAGGGAGTCGGTAACGTCCATATCTATGTTAAGCCGGAGATTAGTGTTAACCAGACATTGAGTAACCGGACCTAATATTCCCAAGAACTCTAAGGGCCGGTTTCTCCATCTCTGGTTAACACTAACTCCCCGGTTAAACATTGTTATCGACGTTCTAACTCCATGCATATAACAGGGAGTCGATAAGGTCGGTAACGATGTTTACCGGGGGATTAGTGTTAACCGGAGATGGAGAAACCGGCCCTTAGGAACATCGTTACCGACGTTATCAACGGAATGTTGCATGCATGGAGTCAGTAACGTCGGTAACGATGTTTAACTGGAGATTAGTGTTAACCAGAGATGGTGAAAACGGCCCTTAAGGCCGGTTGTTCAATGTCTGGTTATCACTATTTCCCGGTTAAACATCATTATCGACGTTGCTGACATCATGCATAAAACATGTGATCGATAAAGCAGTCGTTGTATTTGACCGGAGCTTCTACCTCCGATTTGTGCTAATCAGACATTGAACAACCGGCCCTCAATGTCTGGTTAACACTAATTTCCGGTTAAACATAGTTATCGACGTTACCGACTCCCTGTAGTATGCATGGGGTCGTAGTCGTCAATAACGATGTTTGACCGCAGATGAATGTTAACCAGATATTGAGTAACCGGCCCTTATTAACAAAAGGTCAGAAATGTATACGCCAGGTTCTGTGGCTGCTTTTGCTTTTTGAGAATTTTACAGATTTTAACCATATATGTAATACTCCTATATTCGCAGTAAGAGTTAGCACCGTCCGAAAACACTACAGTACAGATATATCAATTAACACGTACGAAAGAAGAGGAACACATACGTTTATAAATAAACATGTACACAACACATATACAAAAACGGCACTCAAGTACACAATACATTGACAAAAACGGTACTAGACTGTCTCGCTTTGATTTCGGAATGCTTACACATTGAGAAGTTAGCTTACTGCCATATTGGCAGAAGAAGAAAAAATGTTGCAAGGAAAACGTAAACAAGTTGCACAAGTAACGTCATACAAACAACGATTCTGTCAAATTCACTGAGAGAGGAATAGCGGTACCATGATGGGCGCAACCTCTATTTCTCTCAATCGCGGTTTTAACCCAGAAAAGTTGGGGAACGCAACTACTATTTAGAGATTAGTCTGCTTTACAAGCACTCCGCTGGCAAACGTCAAACTACCTCTCAATGGTTTTACCTTGTTGGAAACCAAGAGTAAAAAGTGAGCCGGTTCGGGGAAAATAAAACTCATGATAACCCGGCTTTCCCACGGCACCCCAATGACGTAGTTCGCTCTCTCATTCGTAATTCGAAGAGACAGAGAAGGGTTTGTGTGCTTATTTGCGCCAAATAATTTTGGCATGGTTTAAACGAGCGTAAAAAGTCCTATACATCCAAATTTTTTTATAATTAAACGGCTTTTTGTCTAAATCCTGGAGTACGGAACAGGCTAAATGTGAATAAGAAAAATAAACAAAAAAATGTGAAATTAAACTCTCGAGTTACTTAAACACCGCAATGAGAACACTTGACAGTTGTGCATAAACACAAAACGTTGAACTCGAGTTTACAGTCTCTACGTAAACCTACTATTGCTCAATGCAACTCTGGGTACGAAAAAAGGCGAAAGGCCGCCATCTTGGAAATTAGACAAAAAGCACTAGAAGAAGAAGAAAAATCGAAACAATTGACAGCGCCAGCGAGAAGAAAAGTCGCGTCAAATATTTAATTATTCTTTACATTTACCTAAAATTCCGGCACAAAAAGCATTTCTAAACAAACAAATAACGATTTGGCTAACGCACTGATTGAAAATTGTGTAAAAACAGCTTAAAACTGGAGCAACGGAAAAAGCAAAAAAAAACTGAAGAAGCAGCTCTTGAAAGCAGAAACGAAAAAATTGCGAAGGCGACGAGTAGGAAAAAGTTTCGTTTTCCCTTTTGCGTTGCTCTTGCTGTTGCGTTTTCCGCCAGCCGAAAAGAAATCATTCGCAACAATTTGGGCAATATATCCTCGCAAACCATTTTAAGTTAGCCCACAACGTGCTTATTTGATTAACCGTGGAATAGTGTGATATCCAACTTAACGGTATTGAATTTGCTTGAGTGCTTTTGGAACGCGAATCTATAAAGGGGAGAGCGACGATATTCACTCGTTTCATCTACTGCTGCAAATCAATCTGTCAAAGCCTATATCTCCATTGAACATTCGCTCATACAATTAAAAGGCGTTATTCCATACCCGGAGACCCTTAAGGAAACTGAGGCAATCAAAATTTTTTCTTTTGGATTGCGTTCCATTGACGTCCGATCGTTAGATTAACTATCTTTACTTGCGATCAATTTCATTCCAAAACAGCACCAAATGCAACATCAAAACTGGCTTGTACTAAGAAGTAAGCCCATATAACTAGTAAATACGTACTGCGCGTCTTAGACCAACTTTAAATTAGTCAGCCTCAACTCGTACTTCACATAAATTTACTGTGAAGTTCATCCATAACTTAACAATTTCGGTTCTAGTGGACTATGTCTGAGCATTTGAGTCGGCGAGTACAAAAGCACACATAGCCATGGCTGCGACGAGAAAGTTGCAAGGTGAGCACAATAATCTCTAATAGTTAGGCTTTAGAAGCATATAAAAGCATATGTATGTATTATGTGAGCTGATATTTGTTACCAAAAAATTACTCTGGTTCCAGATATCATTATATTAGAAAGGGTAAGCGCTAGAGACTTTTGTTCGGAATAAATGACGTTATTAAAATTATATTAATTGATTGACTTATAGAATGTATACAAAAGACAATAGCAGTTTAGGAGCTGAAAGACAACATTTCATACCCAAAACCTACATTTTTAAATGCTGACTAACATGGTTTTTTTCGTCGATATACTCTTCCGACCGATTTCGCATATACGTATCTGTTATTATCACAACAATGGAAGCCACTAGTTAGTTATCAACATATATACCTTTTTGACCCAGATTACAACTTATTTTTTCTTAAATACGTCAAAGCTATTAAAGAACAAAAATAATATCAACACCCACTTAGAAATAACAAATTATAACTTACTTTAATAATCCGCAATAATTAGTACGGTGTATACACGGATTGGAGACATGAGCCACTTAGTAGAGGACCATTACTATTTGTCCATGTTGTTGGTGTAGCGGCTACAACAGCCCCGCCCAGCTCAGCTAATCTCTCAGTCGTTGTCGCCAAGATGTTTCGAGTCATGGGCTATTGTGGTACGTGCCTTCCGAGGCAGACGAAGCTCCCCTAAATGTGATTTTCTCTTTGCCTATAACGTTAGCATTATGCTTCGGAAACAGGCAGACAGAATTTCTATTTTGGTGTAAATCAGTTGTTGTTGTTGTAGCAGCATACAAGTTCCCTAAAGAGTTTTTGAGGAGTGTTGCTGGAGTGACAGTCTTTGGCCAAATATAAATCTGGGTCGTTCCGGTTACGTAGACCCGACTGTCGTGGCAACGTATAAATCAGTGTTGCTGTTGTTGTTGTAGCGGCTACAACAACGTGTAAATCAGTAAATCAGTCATGGCCAGCGCTGGCATTTTAGCAATTTTTGGCTATTTTTTCTTAGTTTCTAATGTTCAATATTTTTGGTTACTTAATATTACCAAAACGTCTATCTTTTTAAGCAGCCTATTTAGAAAAAATTTTAGTATGCAGCTTGTGCCCATTGACTTTCAAAAAAGCAGGTTATCAGTTCGTCGGAATATTTGTTTTATTTTTTTTATTTATGTATGTTACCGCATAACTTTGGACCACGTTAACCGATTTCTATAATTCTTTTTGCATCGAAAAGGTAGTGTCTCAGAGGTGGTCCCATACTAATCCGATCATTGGATCATGAAAAAATTAACCGTACTCCTGAATTTTTATATGAGAATTGAAGTCAGATTTGGTTTTTGCTTAAAAATTACTTGTAGGTGCACGTTTGAAGTAGCTAGGACTTATTGTTGATTTTTGGCAATTTTTTTTTTGTTGACGGTGTTACGCATTTTTCGACAAACAAGGATGCTCGAAAAATTTGTATATGGAAAAATTTTGCAGTATAGTCATAATTTTTGCAAAAAGTCTGAAATTTGGGTTTTTATGGTGTTTGGTAAGTAATCAGCTATACATTCATATAAAAATATTAAACATTCAATAAACTAAAGAATACGTTAATAGTACAAAAAAAAAAGATATTTTTAAAGCAAGCTTTCTAAATATGAACGAAATCGGACCATAAATTCTGGTTTGCCAAATATCTCGACTGGTGCGCCACCTATCGGCAAAATTTTTAGTGGAGTTATTCATTTTCATGTAGTTTATATATGTTCTAAATATGAACCAAATCGGTCTGTAAATACGGCTCTTAAAATATTTAGACTCCTGCCACACCTATCGGATTAACTCATCATTCAAGTCCCGCTTGACGTGTTTTCACTTATTTCACTACAAATGCCATTGAAGTGACCATTGCAAAAAGCCTTAAAGATGTATACTGCTACGGTATGTTGATAGGAGAAGCATCTGTTCAAAATATATGTATCTATCAAACATTCCCTTTTATTTAATATCTGTATGAATGAAATATTATGATGGTGTTTTGAAACTTTAGCAAATACATTTTTTGGCTATCAAATATCGCATTAAGTTCTTCAAGAATGCAGCTGTTCTTATCATCTCTTTCAATGTAGAAAAAATTAGGTCAATGCAATGACGGTGTCATAACAATACAGTACACAACACATACAAAAAAACACAAATTTACACGTACCCAAGATACAATATTTATCCACGCGTGCCGTTGAATGAATGCATAGTGCATGCGCATGGATTACAATGAGATGAGTTCTTATTCAACATTGCGACAAAAATTGTTTGTGATATAACACATTTGACAAAAATTAAAAATTATATAGTATGTATATTTTCATTTCATTTTAACAATAAGTCCAGGTATTAGATATATCCGTACATAAATACACATTTTTTTATTTATTCATTAAGTATAATATTTGCAACTGATTAAAAAAAAAATGTGTGCTGGCATAATGCTACGCACAAAGTAATGGGTTTATCTATTCGTTCATTAGGGATGTGAATAAATATACTGGTAGGTAGTAGGTAAATAGCAAAGTAACTCGTCGGCAAGCCGATGGACAACTGGATTTAGTCAACCGCAGTAATAGAAAAAAGTTGTTTACCCCAACGCCGAATGGTAGTGTTTATATTGAGGGAGGCTTTAATTACGCCACCCACTCGCCATTCTCAACCTCCCAATGCATACACAAACAAACGTAAGGTGATTTTTTCAACCCTCGCAGTAGGTTGTCCAGTTTGTATCTTGAAAGCAAATTTAGCGGAAAATGTACGTATGAAGCGACAGCGGCTTTTGGCCACGTTAAACGCGATATATATTTTTGCTGCAAATGCATCTGCATGTTATTTCGCTGATAAAAAAAAAATATTATTTATACATACATGAATCATTTCGCTCTTTCTAGGTGAAATAGACAGATGTCTGAAAAAAGTTGCGGAAGGAGTGGAAACGTTTGAGGATATATGGAAAAAAGTGCATAATGCTACCAACAGTAATCAGAAGGTAAGGTATCGAATGCAAAAGTATAAAAACAAGACTTATCCATTCTTTTCAGGAGAAATATGAAGCAGACCTTAAAAAGGAAATTAAGAAGCTACAAAGGCTTCGCGATCAAATTAAATCGTGGATTGCATCCGGAGAGATTAAAGATAAAAGTCAGCTGTTGGAGAACAGGCGTCTTATTGAAACGGTAGGAACTAATATCCTGACTTTTTTTTTAATGAATATACCATCGTCCCATCCCTGCGCTAACTAAGTATCTACATTTTTTTTGTAAAATGGTACCGCTTATAAAAAACGGGTAAAGCGTTACATTTTTTGCCAGTAGAACCAAATTAGAAGAAAATAAAAAATGTTTCCTACTTTAGAACGATTCTATTGCAGATACGAGGTTAACACAAACGGAAATATATGTATATATGTATATGTATGTATTTTCCATATTAAATGAAATTATGTCTTTCAGCAAATGGAGCGTTTCAAGATCGTAGAACGCGAAACAAAAACAAAAGCATATTCGAAAGAAGGCCTTGGTGCCGCACAAAAAATGGATCCAGCTCAACGCATTAAGGATGAGACACGTAATTGGTTAACATCTTCAATTAGTTCGTTGCAATTACAAATAGATCAATACGAAAGTGAGATTGAATCGTTATTAGCGGCTAAAAAGAAACGCCTCGATCGCGATAAACAGGATCGAATGGATGAATTTCGTGTTAAATTGGACCGTAATAAATTCCATGTTATGAAACTAGAAACACTGTTGAGATTGCTCGATAATGATGGCGTTGAAGCGGAACAGGTAAGAAAATGATATAGTAACTTATCAATTGAAATCGGAGGCTAAAGTCAAAATTTTTAACTCAGGTAAATAAGATCAAGGATGATGTTGAATATTATATTGAGTCCTCACAAGAGCCGAATTTCGAAGAGAATGAATTTCTTTACGATGACATTATTGGCCTGGACGATGTTGAATTATCTGGCACAGGTGAGTTGGGTACGATTGAGATTGAGTGTGAATGGGCAGGAATTACTTTTTATGAGGTATAATTATGTATTTGCATTGTTGTGCAGAAGATGTTTTCGTACATACAAAGATCAACGTTGTATGTGCATATGCAAAGTAGGTTTTCTTATGAATATAATTGTTATACATATTTACACTTTGTAAAGCTTTTAGTGCAGTCGTATACTTATATATGTATGTTTCTGCCTTTATTTTCATATTTTAAACTGAATATCATCCACATCAACGGCTTAACATATATATGTTCTCAATGTGATTAAAAACCACAATATCCACATAAAATAATCCCGTAAAATGTGTTGAATGAATATGATTTGATTTGTTGAACAACAACGTCATCCATCGGCCATCTAACAACTCACAACAACCACACAATACCTTTCGGCAATGCAACCGTTTGCGTCCAATTGTGTGTGCATTGTTATCTCACAACAACAATACCTAACGAATAAATGTATGTCGTGTTATCCTTGAAAAATCATAATATTAATTACAATATACACAAAACATCGAACCGTATGATTTCGATGAACTTGTTTCAATCGCTGTGGATCGTGTTCTACATCAACAACAACAAATGTTGTCTGAATGATGTTGAATAAATATCGGATTGGTGGTGTTATTTGAATTTTATACTAAAGGTGTTTCACTTGGTATTCCATCATCAGCCACTACAGACAGCAACAACAGCAATGAGACGAGCGGTTCGCCGAGCAGCATAACATCGGGTGGCAGTCCTGTGCAATCGCCACCGCCTACAGTGGGCCAACAGCAGCAACAGACACAACAACAGTCTGCGACCGCAGCGCCGGCGGCAGGAACTGCGGCGCTGACAGCTACAAGTAATGCGTCGGCGGCGGTGCAACAACAACAACAGCCAAGTAATATCAGCAACAGCAACAGCATGAACTACGCAGCTGAAGCAGCAGCGGCGACGGCAACAACCGGCAGCACAGACACGACGGCCAGCGATAAGAGGAACAAAAACGACAGCAATTCTAATAGCAAAACAAAAGTGAGTGGTATACATTTCATTCGTTTCACAACGTGTGTAATAATTTTTATTTTCATTGCCACTTTTAGCAACCTGTTAAGCCAACGGCCGTGCGTGCAGCGAACAGCAGCGGAAAACCTGGTGGCTCGACAACAGAAAGTTTGTTACACCATTAATGCTATTTAACACACTTGTTTATTCCTACTTTCTCTTTTTAGCGTCTTCAAACAAAGCTGTAAGTTCGACGCCTAATAAGAATCAACAACAGCAGCAGCAACCGACGGCCGCGGCAGTGGTCGCAGCAGCCATGGCAGGACAAGCAGCGCCAACATCAACTGCAGCCACAGTTAATAGCTTAGGTAGTGGCGCGCCTACTATGGCAGCCACCGTCGCAGCAGCGGCCGCATTGGCCGCAGGTCACAGTCCTGCATTGCAACAGCATGCGCCGGCGCCTAGTTTGAATGCCACAAATATAACGACAGCAGCAGGCGGAGCGACAACGGTAGCCGCCGCAGTTGCGTCTAACAATGGTAGCAGCAACAGTAACAACATTCAAGGCCAATCTGTGATTCAAGCAACGCCAACGATTGCATTTGCGGCTGTGGCGAAAAATAATACATGTAAGTGCAGTGAGATGATAAGTAGTGCCATATTTTAAAAGATAATTTTTCATTTTGAGCGTGAATTTTGCTGATGAATCAGTATTTTACACTGAAAATGCACTTAAACGCATTGTGTACAAATCTGTTTATTATTTTAACTTTTGGGATAGGTTTATGGTTTATTTACTCTGAAACACATGTATACCTATATATATATACGTATCGTTTCAGCACATCTGGAAAATGGACCTGTGCATCCGGCGACATCGTATGCGATGGCGGCTCCAACGGTAGCGTCTATCGTTGGGTCCAATGCACAGCATCAGCAACAACAACAACAACAGTTGTCCAATCTTCAAACGAATTCCTCACATTTGCAAAACGGTTCGTTTTCCACTCGGCACATGGCTTTCGATTTTTTCTTTTCTCTGATATGTAAGTTTATCAACGTTTTTCTGATTTGATACATTTCCACAGCGCATAGCAACACTTCCAACAACAACACATCCAATAGTTTAGCGAACGCGGTTCAGCAAGGAAGCGCAGCTGTCGCTGCAGCAGCCGCTTCCGCCGCCGCCGCCGCTGGTGTAGTGGTAAATAACGTCGGCAGCAATAATCTGGCAAATTGCATTTCTCCGAATGGCCTCTCACAAGTAATTGGAACACAGCAACAACAGCAACAGCAAGTTATTGGTGTGGCAAACAATAGCACACGCGCCTCACCGGGCCTGCTTTCACCGAAGCATATGAATGGCTTGCCTGTATCCGCAGCCAACATTAATAACAACAATAATAACGCTGTGGATGCAATTTCATTAAAGACGATGGCTCAGGAAGCCATTAACCGATCGGTAATCGATACAAATTCATTGACGCAAGGACCTGGTCAACACATTGACAACAGGCAGCAACAACAGCAATCACAACAGGTCTTGCAGCATTTCTCAAACGATACAACTGCCAACCAGCAACAACAACAACAGGCGGGGGGCTTGGCTGCAGCAGCAGTTGCCTTTGCTGCAGCAGCCGCAGCAACCAATGGACCGACAACAGCGGGCTCGGGCCCAGTTGGTAGTGCAGTGCCTAGTGGACTGCCGGGCTTGGCGAATACAGCCGTAGGACAGTCGGGATCTAGTAATAGCGCTGTTAATGCGCCAGTGGGCAGCAAAACACACCAACAACAGCAACAACAACAACATCCTACAAATGAAGCTCATATAACGCCATTATTGGGCGTAGCTCCACTTGGCACATTGCCCTTACATAAAGATCATCAATTGCAATTCAAAATGATGGAAGCCGCATACTATCATCTCCCAACCCCAGCTGATTCGGAGAGATTAAATATATACCTGCCGCGAACACCAGTGCCGACACCATTGCACTATCCTCAGGTTAGTGGAAATGTGTGCAATGATTCCGTATTATTTGTATTTAGAAATTCTATTTTTTATGCACAAAAAACAGCAACAACTTCCACTATACGATACCGTTGAATTTTATCAACGTCTCTCAACCGAAACGCTCTTCTTTGTTTTCTATTATATGGAAGGTTCGAAGGCGCAATATTTAGCAGCGAAAGCATTGAAAAAGCAAAGCTGGCGATTTCACACAAAGTACATGATGTGGTTCCAAAGGCATGAGGAACCAAAAATTATTAACGATGATTACGAACAGGTAAGTTTTCTTTTAATAGTTCTATTCGATAAACACATTGATCATGATCAGTCAGCACCCCAAACCAAGAGGATGAGAGGAAACCCGAAAATGTTAACTCGTCTGCGAAAGTAAAAATTAGTGAATACTTATCGTCGCTACACACGAATAAAGGCGCGCTAGTGTTTTGACGGCGAAAAAAGGCGCGTAGAAAAAGTTTGCGAAAAAAGATGCTTATGAAAAACTTCGGCGAAGTATGTTAAGAGTGGTTGACGCTGAAGTTTTTTTATGCGTCTTTTTTCGCCGTCAACTTTTGAGCTCGCGCCTTTATTCGTGTCTAGTGACGTTATAGTCACATAGCAGGCAGTAAGAATGGCATATAAGATAAAAAAAGTAAATTGCAATATGCTTTCGGTTCATATTCAGCCTCAACTCGACAACAGTAGCATTGTCTACTGTCGTACTGAAATAAGTAAACGACCAAAATCGTCGAAAATTATACAGTGCTGCCAAGTTTTTCCATTTTAATACACTAGTCGAGTGGAAATTTTAGGCAATGCCGTGAAATTGTCGACACGATTCGACTCTCGAAAAACGACTTGCATTCCACACGACTCTCGCAATAAGGGTGAATATTTCGTGTTGGGAGCTAAAACTTTTCCGGCACCATAAAGTAAAGGTTGCACACTTGCTTCGAAGTCTAAATCCCATGAGAAAGCAGTGTTGTCGGGGTACTGGGGTGAATATAATTTGGTGAGAAGCAGATATAAGAAAATGGTAAGGTGTAAAAAAATTAAATACTTAGAGCATAAGGTGGAAATAAATAAGGGTGACAGCCGACTCATGTGGAAATACTTAAAGGAGGTAGTCAATAACACGGAGGTCAAAGAAAATATTGGGGAAGTGATAATAAATAACACCAACTACGTAGACAGCTTTGAAATTGCGGAAAACCTAAATAATTTTTTCGTGGACAGCATTTTGGAAATACATACCAATATAGAGTGTGTAAACTATGACTTTTTCGAGCAACGAGCTCCCACAAGTACGCTAAAATTTGAAGAGGTCTCAACGGAAGACATTCTTCAAATTGCCAAAAAATTTAAGCGGAAAATTGGGGGAAACAACCTACTTTCTGAAGGTGTTATTAGGGACTCTGCTGATTATATGGGATATTTCTATGCCCTACTTATAAATAAGAGTCTCCAGACAGGATCAGTACCGGAAGAATGGAAAATTTCATCAATAGTGCCCGTCAAGAAAGTTAGAAAAACGGTTAAAGCTGAGGAGCTTAGGCCCATCAATACTCTCCCTAGCTTGGAAAAAATGCTAGAAACCGTTGTGAAAAACCAGCTACAGTACTATGTGGAATCCAATAAAATACTCATAAAAGAACAATCTGGATTCAGAGCTAAACATTCCTGTGAGACTGCGCTGAATCTGGTGCTTTCTCAATGGAAAGAAGATCTGAACAGACACCTTAATGTAGTGGCAGTGTTTATTGATCTTAAAAGAGCATTTGAAACCGTTGATAGGGTCCGAATGTTGGATAAACTAAAATACATTGGTATAAAAAACACTGAGCTTGACTGGTTTAGAAGCTTTCTGTGTAATCGTAGGCAACAAACAATAGTTAATTCAAAGAGGTCTAGTAAGATAGCCGTAGACATCGGATTACCACAGGGCTCAGTTTTGGCACCCCTACTCTTTAATATATATATAAACGATATTAAAAGTTCTCTCAAACATTGCAAAATAAAACTCTTTGCGGATGATGCCTTGTTAACGATCAGTGATAGGGAACTACCAAATGCGATTGTCAAAATGCAAGAAGATCTTAATTCTTTGTATCAATGGCTGTGTTCAAATAAACTCAAACTGAATGTGAAAAAGACTAACTTTATGGTATTTTCCAGAGCGGCAAATGCTGACTCCATAAGCCGTGAATTAAAAATCAAAGATGAAAATATCGAAGAGGTGAAAATTGTCAAGTACCTAGGAATATACATAGACAACAAACTAAAGTTTGATGAGCACGTTGAGTATACAGTCAACAAGATTGCTAAAAAAATTGGCCTTATAAAGAGATCGTGTAAGTACTTGGGAAGAAGATATAAAACGTTGGTGTACAGGTCAATAGTAGAACCGCACTTTATATACTGCCCCACGGTTTTCTTCCTAGCGGGGGACTCCCATGTAGATAAGCTGCAAAAAATGCAAAACCGAGCGATGAGATTCATCCTCAACAAACCGTATGACACACCAACAAGATGTATGCTTGAAACCTTGAATTGGTTAAGCGTGAAGCAACAAGTTTTTTACCACGCTATGAAATTTGTGTACAATATTAAGAAGGGCAACCTGCCGGATTATCTTAGCGATAATCTCCGATATATAAATGAGACGCATACATATTTGTTGAGAGAGAATAACAGCTTCAGACTCCCGAAGTATAGAACAGAAGTGGACAAAAAAAATATTTTCTATAAAGGCTTAAAGTGCTTCAATGAATTACCAGAGGCTATAAAAAATTGTGATACTATCACTCTTTTCAAGCGGCTGCTATTTGACTATTGTAGAACGCAGCCTACAAGATAGTGATGTATCAACAATAGCGTGGATTGGAAACTAGGCCTTTCCAACCACCAAGATATCGAGACTAGGCGGATCGGAAACTCGGCCTTTCCGACTACCTAGACCCTTAGATAATAAACAATAAACGAGCGGATTGGAAACTAGGCCTTTCCAACCGTTAACCGTCACGAAAGCGCGACTGGGTGGATCGGAAACTCGGCCTTTCTGACCACCCAGGAGATATCAATAAATGGAGTAACCCAAAAAGAATAGCACGGATTGGAAACTCGGCCTTTCCAACCGTCTACATGACTTCCAGGAAATTGCATGCGTGTATAATGACATAAAATAATTGCAGTGATAAAGAAATAATGTTATTTAAAAATTTCTGTAGAGCATTTTGTATTTTGTATTTAAAATTTTAATATTTATATTTTAAATCTAAAATCCAATTATAAGAATGTTAAATCTTTGTTGCAATATAAGTCTACAGACTGTAAAAAATAAATAAATAAATAAAGTGTCACATTGCTTTCTCAATTTTTGGATGCTGCCTGTTTTGTTGTAATGTAAAAATTAGGACCAATGTAAAATACATACATATGTATGTAGGTATTTACATTTGAAAAAGTATTTGCTATAGGTGTGTATAGTAACAAATAGTACTAATTTTTACTGGAACCTGAAAATTTTTACTGTAAAAGTGTATATTAACCCAAAAAATATGCAAGAGAGCACTGAATCGAGAGCGTAATAACACGGGAGAGCTGCAAATTCTTGCTAGTGAAATTTTTACTAACAGAAATTAGCTAGCAAAAGAAAGCCGCCATTAAATTGGTTAAGCATAAACAAAAGTAAAATGAATGGAAATCAAAATATTACTGATGTACTGGACTGTGCCAGTGCTTGTGTGTAAAGCAAAGAGTTCAAAACTGATTTATAAATAGTAAAATGTTTTTTTTTTGGTTTTACAGCAAAATGTCAAAACAGTGCAACAACTATTCACTTGCAAGTTTTTACTAGTTTTTCTGCTAGTTTTCTCTTCTTCTCAATTTCACGCTCCATTTGGCTTTTACGCTCTAGCTTGCAACTTTTTACTGGGAAAGTTACTATACACATTTTATATTTAGCTATTAAACCTCTTTCCTGTCATTGAGACCCATGCATTTGTAGCTCCTAAATAAAATATTCATAACCATTATGTTTTGTTTGCAGGGTACGTACATCTACTTTGATTACGAGAAATGGAGTCAACGCAAAAAGGAGGGATTCACTTTTGAATACAAGTACTTAGAGGACAAGGAGTTGAATTGATTGCTGTGCGTAGCAGCAAGTGTAAAAAGAACTTTTGTTATAAAAAATGTTTGAATAACTTCTAAGCTACATAAGCCAACAGCAGCAACTACAACAACATCATCATTACCACCTCTTACAACAGCGCAGCAAGCAAGAATGAAAACTAAAAGAACAATCATCAGCTGAAGTACTACGTTTGCATTCACTGTTCAAGTTTTTCCACATGTTGTTCCTTTTTAAATTTGCTATGTTAATTTTTTTTTTTTACTGTTTATGAGCTCTGCAAATGCGTTAAAACGAGAAAAGAAAGCGAAAAATATCAAATCTACAACATACAATCATATAAATAGTACATATTCTAATTTGAAAAGGTTTAAACTTTTATAGATCCTATACAAAAATTCGCATAGAAGACCATTATAATTTGCCTAATCAAGTCACGCATTATAATTTTGTGGAGTCAAATTGAAACAACTTCGCCATTCTCCTTGTTAACAAAGGCTCAAGCAGTAACAGAAGAAGGAAGCATCTGCTGTCGCCGTATGTCGACAAGGTTTGTACAGCAGCATACATGTGCGAGAAGAGGGAATAACGGAAATTATTAGGAAACTCCAAAAAATTATAAATACGTACATCTATTAAACAAAACCACCAATTAAAAGTTGCTCCATTTTCTTCCTTGCCTTTCTCAAAAGTATTTGGGAACGTTATGTGGCGCCCAACTTCAAAAACCTTATTTCTCTAGGTTTAATTTTTATTTTCTCCGTTTTTCTGTTATAAATTCATTCATTGAAAATAAAACCATACACTTTGCAATTAACGAAAAATGGAAAAACCCCCAACTACAAACATGCATAATACTTTATAAAAGAGATGAAAATGTTTTACAAACAACAATAAAAATCGAAAAAATGTTAAAAAGAGGTGAAGTTAAAAGAACATGATACAACTTTGAAGAACAAAAATCATCAAATGAAAAGTAAATACAAAAACAAAAAAATTTAAATCTTTTGAAAAAAGGATTAAGCTAATTTTTAAAATAAAAATTTAAAATATTATTACAAAATTTCAACGTCTTATTTAATACATTTTTTTTTATGCAAAATCATGTTTATTAATTTTCCTTTACGATATTAGCCTTGTATCTTTCAGCATAAGTTACAATAACATAATGTCGTTTATGCTTCCATAACAGCTAGCCAAGTATATATGCCCAATTTTTTATAAGTATGTATATTACAACGCAATTGCGATAACGCAGCAATGCCGCAGCGTTAAAAAATGTTTTTTGAAGAAAGTTCTGTTTGGGGAGCGGAAAATGTTTGCATTGCAAGGCAATTGAGATCGCAAAGTTAAGCTCTACCCATAATTACAGCGGACGACGGCTTCCGTCAGATTTGAAAACTATCATTAAAATAAAATAATTTTTCGGTACGGGCGTTTATGAAGATTTGCTGGAAGTAAAAATGGATTAAAATGTTGCCAAACTTGTGAAAATAATAAAAATTACTACAATCAACACTCAATCAACATTGTGCCGTCTCCACTGGGCGGTAAAAATAGAAATAAATTTGAATTTACCGAAAAACGTCGGCAAAACGCTGCCGCCGCAATTACGAGCCATTCCATATGCCTTTGTGAATTTTAATTTTGGCACGTACCGACGACCGCTTTACCGTCGTTCGCTGCAATTCTGGGTAGAGCTTTACAGTGCGGTTGGAGAGAAAGTTTCAAATTCTTGCTTGCAAACATATTTTCAGCAACAATTTGCAAGCTGAACTGTGGAACATGGTTGGATTCATGTCAATGCAAGCAAGTTAATACGGTAGACAAACGGGCTCGATTATTTGCATAACCAGCCTTAATTTGCTTTAACTCATGCATTTTCCTCTCTAAAATGAGCATAAGCAGCCGAACAAATGCACGAAATTGTTAATTTAATTTAACTCGGATCCGGGGAGTTTTCGATGGCAACACTGGTAAAAACGGCCAGTTGTTGTCTTTTGTACAAGTGAGCAAACGAAGCAGTCGAGTTTCGCGTACGCGGTAGCAACAAAGTCTAGGCGGTAGAAGTTATAGCAGCTATTTCGGAGATCACCGCATCCCCTCATCAGACTTCTTTTTCTAGACTTCAGCAGGGATCGAACCTGCGTAATCGATGTTCAAAGTCAGAAGCAGTAACCACTTATTTGTTTTATATTTTTTTTATTATATATTTAATTTTACTTTATTTTATTTTCATTTGCTTTATTTTATATCACATCTCTTATTTTACTATTAGTTAATTTTAATTTTTAGAGATGAATTTTGTTAAAAAGTCAACAACAACTAACTGAAAGCAACGTAAAATATAGAGCTTATAAAAAAAAGAATGAAATAAAAAAAGTCTACTGGCCGTGGGACTCGAACCTAACACACGCCAAAACTGATGCATTATGTATACTAAAGCGACTGAAAAATTCAAGTAGTGGGTCACCGAAATCGCGCAAATAGAAACTGCATTTAGATTTATTTTTTTTATTTTTATTTTAACAAAGCTTATATAATAAAATACAATATTATTATACAAACTAAAGAACGCAGCACTAGCTACATAGGCTTTCGGCTGCTGCATTTAGATATTATTTCCGTTTCAACCGAAACTGTGCGTGTATGCTTTATTTCGGTTTTTTCATTGCATTATTTCGTAGGCACAGTTTCCATAGGGCACTGTCACACGGTCAGTATTTATTGACGTGATCCAAGTATCGCTATATTTATTGACGGTGTAGCATGCAGTGTTGATGGATCGTGATCCATATCGCAAAATTTCTAAAATTTTTGAAATCTGGATCGCGGATCGCAATATTGTCAATATATATTGACCGTGTAGCACTTACAAAACGCGATGCATACATTTCGTCAGTACATCTTGTACTCTCATAATGCGAACATCGAAAACGTATCCGCTCGTTCTCGCTGCTTAAAACCTTTCAAAACAAATTGAAAAAATTTTAATGTACATGGGAAATTTTAAAATAATTGTGGAATGCATTATCTGCAAATTATTCATACAAAATAAAAATATTTTCTTGCATCATAATAAGCGTTCAGCACAAAAATTACGCAAATACTGACTGAGCATGTAGCATTTGTGCGCGATCCATCAATCCATCAATATGGATCGCGATCCAAAGATCGTGATAATTACTGACCGTGTGACAGGGCCCATATGCACAATTTCAGGGTGCCGATTTCTTATTGTCAGAAACTAGGGTTCGGTATCAAATATCGTCGTTTCAACTTTCACTAAACCATGATTCAATAATTAAAGGTTTGCTCACTAGTGACATTAAAGTTTTAACACTCCCTTAACTTCCTTACAACGGACATGATGGCCACTACAACAACAACAACTATAACTATAGCTGCCCTGAGACCAAACCAAAAGAGATGACCAAAACCGCGTGGTGGTCAAGGGAGCTCTCTGCGCTCCGGAAAGAGGCACGCAAACTTTTCAACAAGGACAAGCGTACCGGAGGCTGGGATGAGTATGCAGCTAAACCAACCATCTACAGCAAGCAGATTGGGAAGGCGAAGAGTTTTAGAACCTTATGTGAAGGTATTTCGAATACCCCAGCAGCTGCGAGGCTACACAAGGTTCCAGCCAAAGGAACGGTGGAAACAAAACTTGCGCAAAAACGCAGTGACGGTACCTACATTAGAAGATTGGAAGAGAGGACTACCACTCTGCTTGACCGTGGAAACACAATGCCGGCGAGCGGCGAACTCACCACAGCGAAATTACCGCTGTCAAAATTAGAACACCCGCCGGCATATGAAATTGAACACAGCCAAAGCGAAATGCGAAATTCGCTCGGCGGCGTTTCGTGGCGATAGATTTATTTCTATCGCTCTGCCGGGCGATGGCGGACGTACATGCCAAAGGTGGCCGTATGCTTTTTTACTTTCAAAGATTTAGAAGAATTATTTTTGATGGTTGAAAAATATAGTGATCGATTTGTCAAATCTGGCTTAAAATAAAATAATTTATAATAATTCCCCCTTGCCTTATATTTATATTTGTTAGCATTTCATCATTTCTAAATATGGTTTCGTTTCTCGAAATATAACTTATAAGTGCGACGAAGTGGTATCAGCTGTTTTCGCTACCGTTCTAATTCTGTTAAAGTAGGCGAAATAGCAGGGCGAACGGTGAACGACGGCATCGCCCAATTCGGCGAACTTCGCCGTTCGCCGGGTATTGTGTTTCAAGCATGAGGCACACTTCCCAGAGGCCACTCCCATTGGAGCCAGTAGTAGTGGATGAACTCCTCCAGCTTCTCTGAGGTATCCGCCGCTAAGGCTATGCGACCGATATAGTCCTTGGTGGCTTGGTTTTCAAGAACCACTCTGGCTACCGTGAGACAATCGCTCACTAAGCTACAACCACTGGCATGTGTATGCATAACGGGAGCGATGCGCACGTGTCCGAGGACAGCGCTGGAAGTGGTCCTATAACTCGAGCTCATTTATACAACCATAGAACACTTCGCCAAAAGAACTCTACTCATTTATGCTAGAGAGGGATATGGAAGAGCGGGGTCCCCGCTCCCGCTAGCTCTGCTTCCGAGGGATGAAATATGTAGAACTATAGTTTTTGAAAAAAGGTTTAAAACTAAAATAAGCAGTGAAGCAACCTGGAGTACCTCCTCCTTCGAGAGACTCCTTTAGGATGGTACACTGCAGTGGTACACAGACGTCTCGAAGACCCCAGAAGGAATAGGGGCTGCAATCTATGGACCCAGGCCCAGGATCTACATTCCTGTGGGGTAATACCCGAGCAAATTTCAAGCAGAAGTCTACGCCATCTAATTGTGTGCGGAGACCATCATAAGCAGAGGATGCCGTAATGAGAGTATTGTAATTCTAAGTGGCAGTCAGGCTGCACTCAAAGCCCTTTTATCTTTTGAAATCACATCGTCTCTGGTCCTTGAGTGCATAGAGAGGCTCAACTCCCTTGGTAGGCACAATAACATCAGACTGGCGTGGGTGCCTGGCCATATGGGAATAGAAGGGAATGATGCGGCGGACTGTCTCGCAAGAGAGGCGGCAGCTATTACTCCAGTTGGCCCTGAGCCCTTCCTGGGAGTGGGTGAGAGGAGCAATATGAGGGACTCGAACAGGCATAGTTCGGTTGGCATGCGTCAGGCGAAAAGCCTGCTGGGAGGGCATAAAAAGAGGACATTTAAGAGTTACATGACACTACAAACCAAGA